TGTTTGGTGGTCCACAACCGTGCATTTTACACGGAATTTTGTGTCACGTACAGCAACATTGTGGAGTTTACTCCCAGTGGTATTTTTGCCCTGATGTGACTTGAGGCCTTCGAGATAAGAGCCTATAACGCTGCTCTTTTCTCAAGCCAACCAGCAATGTACCTGCAATCCCTCTGGACATGTTCGGGCGCAGGTGATTACTTATCATTAGTTGAGCTGTATATTTTATTGCAACCTATTACCTATTTAGCAACACCCTCAACAACCCTCTTCTATAAAAAAAAATTGCATCATTAACGCAATAGAGTAATGGTGGTCCCGAAACTTTGCTTTCGTAAACTAACCTTGATTTACTATTTACAAACAATTCAATAGTTTTTGAAAGTGACACTGTAATTCGGTTGACAAATTTCTACAGCAAATACCCAATTCATCGCAATCACTTATGAAACATTCCAAAACACCTAATTAAGGTTTTTCAATTAAAATTTAAAAATCTTGAAATAAAAATTGTGCTATGACGGATGATGACGAGTCTATAAGCCAGTGACTAAAAACAGAGGCATATAATTTCGATACGACCAATTTTTGACCTTAGTCAATTGTAGGTTATGAAATAAATATGAAACTATTTTTATCGCAAGTACAGCAAGATAAATGTAAGCATGTATAAATATAAATAATGGATAAATTGGAGATTAAAAAGCAAGATTGGAAATTCATTTTCCTTTATTCATATATTAATATTTTTAAATAGCAATATTACAGCAACTAAATAAATATATCTAGTATTGAACAAGATCAAAATGTAAATGTATTCTACCTTAATTTTGTAGTCTAACATTAATGGTATTTACCACAGACTAACTAGTAGATTCTACCCGAATGTGTTTACTTATAACAATTTGGTGCACATTCACAACTAAAAGTACTCTGTGTTCACAACTAAATGATAATTGTCACCATGGTTACGCGAAACTACTGTGAATGTTAAATTATTATTATTATTAAGCCTTTATATTACCATGCAATTTACATACTACAAGAAAAAAAAATCCAAATTGTTATTGTTTAAGACATGGCCCCGCTCCGGGTATAGGCCTCCTCCAACTGTTTCCATTTGATCCTGTTTTGCACTTTCAACATCCAATCTCTACCAGCTATTCTTTGTATTTCATCGATCCAGCGATCTTTAGGTCTCCCTTTACTCCTTGTACTGCTTGGGCCCGTCCATTCGGTGACTCGTTTCGTCCATCTTCCGTCTGTAATCCGGGCTATGTGTCCCGCCCAACTCCACTTAAGCTGTTGTGCGTGTTGTCCTGCGTCTATTAATTTAGTTTTGCTGCGAATATCCTCGCTCTTACGATTGTCAAGGACCTTATGTTGTGGTATGGAGCGAATGTTAAATTACTGATATTAAAAAATAAATAACATACGTTCCTTAAAAAAAATCATTAAAATCGGTTCACCGATAAGAAGTTCGGAGGTAACACTCATTAAAAAAAATACGGTCGAATTGGTAACCCCCTCCTTTTCTACCAACTTCAAACTGGAGGAGGTACTCAATTCGACTGTATGTTTTTCGTTTTTTATGTGTGTTACCTCATAACTTCTTTTTGGGTGAACCAATTTCGATTAATCTTTTTTTTTTGAAAGCTGGTGTTTCACATGTGGTTCCATATAAATTTAATCAAGGTCTGACCAATAGTTATTGAGTCATTCTTAATAATTTATATTGAAGTCGGTTGTACAAAATGTTTCATTTTAAATTATTTATTATACGAAATAGTTTGAAAGTCAGTCAAGTATAAGATAAACTATTCATATTAATTAAGGACAGGATGAGCCAAAAAAACGACCCTTTAAATTTAAATATAAACTTAAAATTTAATTTAAAAAAAACTCAAGCATTTTATTTTTGAAATTTTATTTTTTTAATTTTGCCAACGTTATTTAGGGGCAGGTGAAATAAGATTATGCAGTTTAATTGTAATAAACAAAGCGTAACATCAAATCATAGAATGTAAAATATTTTGATTCAACAAGTCAATAGCAACAACAGCGAACGTAATACATTCTCACACGCATATTTCCTATTATAATTTTTATGTCATAACATAATGATCATTTGAAAAGGCCTTCGGTTTCTAGGTGATGGTTACTCCCATGATAATGTTGCGGATTAATTAAAAACTGTGACATAATGTAACTTTTATGGAATGTTTCAAAAGAAAAAAATAGTTATGTTTCACCAAAACCTAATATGTAGATATTATTCTGTTGTTCGGACTGCCCAAGATATATTATAGGGTCACAAATGTTTTTTTTTTCAAATAGTATTTAACATACACTCAGATCAAAATTATACACATATATTTATGTACATACATATTTTTTTCTAAGGCCTAGACTTTATTATGATAAAAAATAAAAATATATAATTATATAAATATTTCACACATTCAAAAAAAAATTTGCTTGTCTTTTGTAATGCGTACAGCAAAGGAGTGTAATCACTTGCCGGCGTCTATCTTTCCATCTGATTACAATCGGGGACGTCTTCAAGGTAAGAGTGAATAAGTTTTTGTTACGCTTAGACTGTACGAAGTACCATATTGGTCTTCATCATCGTTTATCACAACGTAAGATTGTTTCAAGCACTGGTTTAATATAACAAAAAAATAATTCCAACAAAAGTTAGTCAATTAAAAGCTTCATTTCACAAATAGTTCAAGCATTCAATCAAGATAGCAATATATGGAAAAATTTGCAATATTATTGTAGTACATTTATTTATTGGCATACATAAGTACGTTATAGAGCAAATTTAAATTTTAAGCACTCTCCTTCCGTAAGTCTCTCCCGGATGAGCATAACCCCCTCGCACCCAAAAAAGTGTCCCGAATCGCGGTTTTTCTTCAAAAACTTACCAAATCTTATCTTATAGGTGAAATACGTTTCTTAAGTTTTATTTTTTCCAACCAACGGCAAAGCGAACAAGTTTTTATAAAAATATTTTTTGAAATTATATTATAAATTAAATATACTACACATCACATAGGTATGTTTTAATTTTTATAGGTAACCGTTGGAATGAAAAACACGTGTTGCACCTTGTCCATAAATGTTAAATCAATACTCTAAAACCGCACAGGAGCGAGTAGGATTCGCGCCTGAAGGTTCCGAATAACCTTAATTACATATTATGTAGATACCTACTTCGTCCATGCCGTTGATTGATTCTCGACAATTTTTACCTGTTTTCGATACCAATATATTAATTCCGTAAATTAACAAATGCAATATTCATTTATAGACAGTAAAAGTGCGTATAACAGTGTAAGCAGTTACATAAGTATTTACTTACTCCAAAACAGTTAAACCGCCAAAGCACAGAACAGTGATCTAACAAAAAGGTAAATCGGATTGATCGACAAACTTAACAGTGGAAAAAACATTGTCCCATACATCGGTCTACATTACGATCGATGCTCTAAAAGCAAATTTAAGTTTGTAATCGATAAAAATATTTTTGTATGCGCTATAACTATAAATATACGATTTTTTGTGTATTTTCCTTTCCAACACAAGTAGTGTTGTGATACCTATCTTCTTATCAAATTTCATAGGGATAGGGATTTTTCCCGTTGTACCAAAACCTGTATAAGTTTCGATGAGTGAGTTTGCGAGTATCAAAAAATGTGACATACCTAAATGGCCGTTATATTTTTATTGCGTTATCGTAGACCATAGACCAACCAGAGACCATATTTAATTGAAAATAAAACGTGTCTATCACATGAACTGACGCATTAGTAAGAACTTGTAACCAATCAAAATAAAAATTCACTCATTTAAAATAATCCTTAACTTATTTAGACCGAATCAATTCAGTGTGACGTAATTGGCTGATTAGCCCTACAGTGAGATCGATGAGCAAACGTCAATTCGTATGAGTAGAATACAAAACGATAAAGTACCATTGTGACAACGACCGACCTTCAAATAACTTAGTTATAAATAAAACTGATAGTTGTAGCACACGGCTACTAAAAGCAGTGCTCACAGTTTCAATACTCAATACAATCGAATTGTCTTACAACTGTTTTCAGAATTAGAATATCATCGATGTTTATCACATTTAAGTTACCTATAGAAAAGGAAAAACAGACAGTTTGTTACAAAATACCAAATATCAGGAATTTTATGAGATGAAGATGATGTCCTTATTTTTAGTTATAACCAGTTTCCATTTTGTAATTATTGAATAATCATTGTATAGATATTCAGAAAGGCTTCGGCTTCGGTATGAAATTTAACAATATTCTAAAAGTTAATTTAAAAAACACAGATCTGCATGGGGGCAATACTTTTCTAGGGTTCCGTTACCCAAAGGGTAACAAACGGGACCCTGTTACCAAGCCGCCGCTATCCATCCGTCCGTCTGTTAGACAATAGGTAGACAGTTGAATTTTTCACAGAATGTGTATTTCTGTAGCCGCTGTAATAACAAATAATAAAAATTAAAATAAATTAAAAAAATAAAAGGGCACCCCTACTAGAAACTAGTATTACGGTGGTACGGAACCCTTCATGCGCGTGTCCGACTCGCACTTGGCCGGTTATTTGTTCTTTTTATAGAACTAAACTGACAAGCGAACTTACAGTCCTCTGATGGTAAGTGGCTACTGCAGCACATAGACATCTGTAACCAATTTTAAACATAGAAATGTAGCTTACACACTGTCTGTAATTATAGTGACTCTATCAACCTTTCAGACCAAACATTTGTACGTCATTATTGCCCTTTTCAAGTCCGGAACTGGATATAAGCCTGAAACTGCTTCCTCTTCTTAAAAGTTTTATAAAACATTACATGTGCAAACAATAATAGTATTGTATTTGTAACAAAGTATAGTATGGTGTATGTATCTGCATTTATTTGCGCTAACGTATTATTTATTTTTCATTGTTTCAGTTATGAGACACTAATAAACATAATGCGGAGGCAATTCTTAATATTTTTATTAAGTTCATGTGTGTCAAATGCATTTCAATTAACTAAGTTTTTGGATTATTGGACAGACTTATTCCGTCCACTCCCTCGTAATACCAAAGAAGGATTCGTACCTGACTACAGTCCTGAAAATTTAGAAGAGTTTGATTTTATTATAGTCGGCGCTGGCTCTGCGGGCTGTGTTCTTGCAAATCGACTGACGGAAATTCACGACTGGAAAGTTTTACTTCTAGAGGCGGGGGGAAACGAAAACTTTTTTTCCGATATTCCAATATTTGCGCCTTTCCTCTCCCTAACCCCAATGAACTGGGGATATAATTCAGAACCAGAAAAAAGGGCATGTAAAGATCTCAGAGGAAAAGTTTGTTTCATGCCTCGAGGCAAAGTCCTTGGCGGAAGCAGCGTATTGAACTTTATGATATATCAAAGGGGTCATCCCGAAGATTATAATGATTGGGCTCGGATGGGCAACGAAGGTTGGAGTTACTCGGAAATTCTTCCATATTTCAAAAAGTCTGAAAATATAAGAATTAAAGCTTTAAAAAATTCAACATATCACGGTACAGGCGGTTACTTAGACATTGATTACGCATCGTTCTCATCTCCACTTGAAACTGCGTTCAAAGAAGCAGGTGAACAACTTGGCTATGAGTGGAATGATCCGAACGGAGAAAAAGTAATAGGATTTTCTAAGCCCCAAGCAACCTTAAGAAAAGGTAGACGATGCAGCACATCAAAGGCATTTTTAGAACCTGTAAGATTCAGGAAAAACTTGAAAATTTCAAAATACTCAACTGTAATGAAAATACTGATTGATCCAAATGCCTACCAAGCATATGGCGTTGAATTTGTTAAAGGAAACAGAAGGTAAATTAAAATGATAAATTTTCGCCAAATATTACATTGTACATATACTTACATTACCAATATAAACACATCAACACAATCTAGGGATATTTTTAACGGCGATATAACCATTTGGTTTAAGTTTTGAAAAGAAACTACAAAGAATTCTTTAGAACATGCTTTTATCAACAAAAACATTATATTTTATATTCTAACAGAAAATGAAATAAAAAATCCTATAATTTCTTTTAATAATAACTTTTATAGTAGAAATAAAAAGATGACCTTGTACTACAATAATAATAAGACTTTGTTTTTGGACATCAAACAAAAACATTTAAACACATAAACTTAAAAAGAATAATTTTGTAAAATCACCTCGAATATTAATAACGCATCTGTAACGATTATTCATTCTCAAAATGAGTTTAAAGTGACGATTATGTGATAAGGTCCAGATCAGAATTTCGGGAAATTTCGTTGAAGCATATCCCAGGCATGCTAATAAAATTTTATTAAATTGATATTAAATTTTTAAACATCGCGGGCCAGTCCAGAGGCGTCACATTAATCTTGCTGCAGCCACTGAGTAAGCACTCTTTCTAGTGGGCACGCGTTATTGGAAGGATAAAATCTTGACCAATTTGCAACAGGTGTTGTCGGACTTTAGGTTCTGGCAACTAACTTATCATGATATTTTTCAGCAGCTTCATTTCCGTGTACCAAACGAGGTCAGTTCTCCCGCCAAGGTATATTCTCGCGATTACCATTGTTGTTCCATCTTGATGAAAGTACTTCCTGGGAATTTTGCAAGCAGCTCTCACGTTCAGTTCAGTCCAGTGTTCGCCAAACACACATTCTTCATGAATCTAGAGAAATCCAGACAATTGGCGATCATTCCAAGCCAAATATTCGGTTAACCACGGTAATCTTTTCCGCAAATGCGTCGTCGTAGTGCTGGAATCCGAATTTAATTAAAAGCGACAGTATCCTAATGCCTGACAGCCTTTGAATTCGAATCCGCCATTCGACTACTGTCGTGAACCACTTCTAACACAAGCATTTTAAGCTTACCAGGAGTGTTTAAAGGGAATAATAGTAATGTTAATAGTATTGGTGGTATTTAAAAAATTGGTCTCAGACATGAAACTTTACCTCTTGCAATCTCCATCTCAAAGTTTGATCGCTTACCAGAACCCAATGTTCCGACTACAACTTCAAAACCATAACGTAAGGCTATATTCTCTCCGTAATTTACAAAAATCATTACAAGAACGAACAACCACCTCGCCAGTGTCCCGGTAGCGAGATGGCGGGATGCTGGGATGGTGGCATCAGCAATATTGCACTGGATTGCGCCCGCTTTCAGAATTTCTATTGCTTCGTTAAATTGTGTTTCACGGTGTTTCATTTTGTTTCTATAAAAACGCTGATATCTCATTAACTTGTGAAAAAATTCAAATTTCCTTAAATATTATATTTTATCTTTAACATACAGGGAAGAAAAGTTACTTCAAAAGGAGAAAGAAGGCGATTCTATGTCCTACACATATGTTTTCCCATGTGTGTTCACCGATTTCTCGGAAACAACTGAACCGAATAAAATTATATTTTTTTTAAATAGGCTTCGTCCCAAGGGTAACATTTAAATTTGAAGATATAATTCTTCTGAGGGTGAACATTAGGATAAACTTAAATTATATTGTTTTAATCTACTTAAACCAATATTCTGAACCTTCTCTACAAATTTGGCCAAATTTACAGAGAAGGTTCAGAATATTGGTTATTGCAAAATATCATTGTATATGTAGTAACATTGTTCATACATAAGTCATAATATTTATATATGTACATACTTTTTTAATCCTGTTTCTTTTTACCACCTAGATTCCAAGACGTGAAAATACACAATATCCAAACACTTAGCATTACTCTTTATTTCTTAGGACTATACTCCACATATTTATATCATTATGATTATTTTTATGTAATTATATTGTGAACCATGATTGAACTTATCATAATTTTCATTTAAACAACAATCAATGATAAAACTTCATTAAAATAAATAAAATAATACATTTCTAATAATATCCATCCTCATACAGGCGACAAGTTATAGCTCGACGAGAAGTAATTCTGGCGGCTGGCACTATCGGCTCGGCACAAATACTAATGTTATCAGGGATAGGACCGGAGGACCATCTTAAAGAAATAGGCATCGACCCTATTGTAAATCTACCTGTGGGCTATAATCTCCAAGATCACATCACGTTCTCAGGAAATGCGTTTATAGTTAACGATTCAAACCTATGCGTTAATGACGTAAGTCAACACAAAGAGGATGTAATTTCTTTATTTAAATACGCAATATATTCTTATTTTAAGCTTAACACAGTTGTTATTCTGACATCCTGATCATATCAAATCACTATAAAGTGATTACGCCATCATTCTTCAGCCCATAGCTCGACTTATGCGTATTCAAGAACGCATAATTTGGTATGCATTTCATTATACTCATATTCACCACATTGGCCCGGTGCGTTGATAGTTGGTTAGTCAATACTTTCGCGCTGATAATGCTGCTGCCCATCAGTAATATGAAATATTTTGGTTTTGGAAAATAGATTTTCCGCCATGATCTAAATGCCGGAGCTTCATTCATCAATCAACAGAGTTCTCGTGCAGGAGAAGTTGGCACTTAAAAAAATAGTAGGCATATTCCCTATAACGCTCAAGATTAACATATGCTGCCCTCACCAATCCGTGAGTCAGACTTTTAATATAGTATTCATGGAAAGGTATGCAGCAGTGCACTAAATAGGGTGTGAAATGTTGGCCTGTATTAATCTAGGCCAATGGTCTATGTCATGGTTAAGCTGTGTATGCGTGATTGAGTAAAAAACATTCAAACGTTTAACACGACTCTTTAAGAACCAAATAAATATAATCTCGTAGATCGGAACTGTACAATATTGTTAACATCGTCAAAATTAATATCAAAAGTAGACTCTCCGTAATGGGAATTTGTGGCAATAATTATGCTTAAGCTCAGCAGACAAAGTTTCTACTAGACCCCTAATATTACAGTATTTTCTCCCCTGCTTCTGACAACAATAAGGGGATATTTTATTCATTGGCCATAATCGACCTTTACAACAGCTACAGAACGTCATGGTACCATGGGTCCTTTTATTTAGAGCCACAAGGTTGTTGTTAATGAATTTAGGCTTCTTCGTCATCATAAGTCAATTGCTAGACATGGCCCTCTCCCGTTGAAGGCAGGTTTTGGCTTAATCGTCACGCTCGGCAGGTGGGTTGACAATCGCAGTACCAGGCGTTTCACACGATAATGTCTTCAGTCACGGTAGTCGGTCACGGCGGCCCATCTCAACGACGACTGGCCATCTATGCAGGACAGGAATATAGTGCCCGAATGTACGCGCAAACACAGATGCACTCTCTATTCCCTTACTCTCATAGTCCGATGAGATGGTAATCCGACATGATTAGAGAAAGTTGAGCCTGCGCCTGATACGCAGGACCAATGGCTTTACTTGCTCCCCGAAGCACGGGGGTGAAACACCGCTCACTTCCTGACTCCGGACTGCTACGGAGATTTTTTTATAGATAAAGGGTGACAAGCGAGCACACAGTCCACCTGATGGTAAGTAGATGCTGTGGCCCATAGACATCTATATTTATCCTCAATTAAGAGTCAAAATGCAGATGCGTTGTCACCCTTGTGGGCGACAACGCAATGTAATGCCTCGTTTCCAATAAAAAAGGTCTCCGGTTCTCTACGCTCACCATAATAATATCACAGTAGCATTAAGCTGCTATTTTACGCTGGTATTCTGTGAGAGCGTGGTCCTACCCCGGTCCAGCCGACCCATTCGTGCTACAACCATAATATAGCTGCAGTGAGGCTCTACCACGTAAAAAATAATTTCTTAACAGAAAACCTAATAACTGACTTAATGCGGAGCTAATGCTCCGTCGTAAGTCTGAGTATTTTTTGTCTGGTGTAAACGAGATGCTCATTTTTTTTTATAGGAGAGGGGGCAAACGAGCATATGGCTCACCTGATGGTAAGTGACTACCGCCGCCCATGAACAATTGCTACACCAGAGGAATTCTTTTCTCTTAAGCTCTTTTCTTGAAGGTCCCTATGTCGTATCGCTCCGGAAAAATCGCCGGTGGTAAACTATTCCACAGAGAGGTCGTACGCAGAAGAAAACTCCTAGTGAAACGTACAGCGGCTCGAGCCTGCCCATACGTGCAACAGCAAAAGCAGCAAAAGCTGCCCCGTGGCTCTACCAGTGTTAAATATGTATCGTCATCTATCGAAAGCCAGTATTTCTGGAATTTCCAATAATTGCTTCATACGACACTCACGGGACGAAATGCGAGACGTCGAATGATCATTTTTTGCCGCAATCCATTGCAAAAAGTCTGGTCTCTCCGTCATCAGTTTGGGGTAGATATTATTAAGCTAATTAGCGATAACGATTTAAATAAATATTTAGCTTACAGCTGCATCACCATTATCAGCGGCAGCTTATTTAACAGGAAGAGGTCCCTTAACCGTTCCCGGTGGTGCCACTGGCATAGCATTTAGTCAAACATCTATCGCTACTGATCTATCTCATGGACGCCCTGATATAGAACTTGTGATGGGTGCCGGATCACTTGCTGGAGACCTATTGGGCATATTACGATCACTACTTGGTAATGTACTCTTTTTATGATGCTTCTTTAACATTAATTTTGCCTTTTAATAAATTAACATAGGATTTCTTTGAGGTATCTATCATTAATTAGATTTTATTATAAATAGCTTGGTAATACCGTTCTACTGCTCCAAATATTTGTGCAGAAACGCAAAAATCCTATCTTCAATTCGCGTGAGCATGAGTGAGGGTAAGAATCATGCAACTCATCTTAATCATCATCAGTCTGCGGCAGTCCACTGCTGGACATAGGTCTCCCTCAAGGCATGGTACTTATCCTGGTCTTCTAATTCGATAGGAGCCACTTTGCGTAGAGCGTTGCTCCATCTAGTAAGGGGCCGCGTCACTCTACGTTTGCCTATACGTGTCCAGCCAATTTTATCCACCAGAGAAACTCTAGGCACAGCTCTTACCATGGCTGAGCGACTTTGAGCTTGTGGAGTAACTGTATCGTCAGTGCCCAGTTCACAGTTTCGGTATCATAGGTAAGTATATGCAGAGAACATAAATGTAAGACTTTTGGTAAACTGTCTTCTCCCGAGGATTCTTTGCACCCCCTGCCCCATCGTTGCCACCACGACGAGGAATAATGGGGCTACCGGGAACTGGGGGACCGTGTTTCTGTGGTAGGTAATGTACCAGGGAGGATTTGCTCTAAATCACCACGCTGTTGTCGATCGGGGTTCCAGATACATCCCATCTATGTAGCCGTAGCCCATCACAGACCTTGTCATTTTTGGTCTGACAAAGATTGGGATAGTTGTACATCGGAAGTAAAAAAGAATGTGTTTTTATTTGTTTGCGCACACTGCAATATTTTTAAGCTCTTTTTAGCTTCCACTTATTCGAAAGATGTCGCAATTGGCGAAGTTCGGCTAGGACAACACCACGTCATGTTCATATTGTTAAAGCCGTACGTTTGTTAACTAATTTCTTTTCATATTTTCTATTTTGTACCATACAAGTTGATCAGCACTAATTTTTAAATGTTTTAATTTAAAAATAAACTGTAAATGAATAAACTAAAGCGAGCATTGGATAAAATTAATGAAAAATAGGTAATTATCTGTTTTAATATAGCAATAAAACAATAGGTACATATTTGTCTAGTTAGAAAACTGATAACTACGTAAATACCTAGGTAGTAGGACTTACCGACATCTGTTATATGGTAAATCGGTAAATATTGACATTTTCTGTAAGCTTATACTAGTAAAACACTTAAAATAATCAATGACAACCTCGAGATGTGGATTACGAGTAGGTACACAGTATTTTTTATCGCCACCCATATTAGATAAGTATTAAATGAAACACACAAACTTTCAGTTAGGTTTAAGTTTGTGCAAATACCTACATAGGTATTTATTCAAAGTTAAACCTAATACTTACCGAGGAGAGTAGGTACCTAATGCTTACTTAGAACATAGGTACGGTACGTACGTTGTTTTCATCTTTATTCCACGAATTTCAGCAGCCGTAAAATCCTGATTCTTCATGAAATATTGTGCCACCATCAAACTATCCACTCTTGGCAGATTGTCCGACTGTCCTTTTACAAAACCTTCTTCCATTCTAGCACTCTACGTTTCACTTTAGTGTAATCGGGTTTAGAGGATAATATTATTTCTTTTAAATATAGCATAAACACTATAAGTAATAGGAATACAAATACGATCGAAAGAATATGAAACGAGACCCGCGTAATTTGGTCGATTTGAGCGACGCGTTTGTCGCGGTCGCAGTCTTCGGGGGTGTGACGTCATAGCGTGAGCGCGCGTAAACTCTGATATTCAAAAAAGGGCTTAAAATTCTCGTCAATATAACTTCGGATATACTGCATGTATTGAAGTGAAATATAAACTAATGTAATGTACATGATCTTTGCTACGATTTTAAGTAATATTTGGTAGTAATATTTTGACCCTTTTGTGTTCCCCATTGGATTGTAGCAACAAAAAGGAAACTGACTCAGCATCATGCTGCAGCAAAGTTGTTGCAGCGCTGTTATTATGGCGGTGCCACTGACAAGACCTACGAGCATATCTGTCTGAGGAGGCTCTTTCAAAAAACAAGAAACTGATAAGTTTCTTTTTACACCAACTTCCGGTATGAAACATCCAGGAACAGATCATAATGCAAAAAATGTAATGACTATAACCTTGGATTCTCCCTAGGGTAATCACAGCACAGGTTGTTGTTTAAGTTTTTTTTAACTCTGATATTATTTATTTAAAAAAAATGAAATGTAGTACAGACAGGCTATTTCGTATGCCAAGGTTATTTTAATAACGTTTTATTTTAATTTTACAGGTGTTACAGACCAGTGGTACTGGAAAGTATATGGCTCCCTACCGCCCGAAGTTAGACAACGCACCTTTGCTATAAACCCAGTGCTGATTCGACCTCGTAGCGTCGGGCGATTGATGCTACGAAGCTCGAACTTCTCAGACCATCCGAAGATACATCCGAATTATTTCGACCATCCCGATGACATTCGTACATTAAGGGAAGGTGTACGCTTGGTATGTTGATATAACTATATTTAATTTAACATAGCAATTATCTAATTCTATGATTTATATATCGCGCACATATATATATATATATATACACAATATAATCAGCTGACAATGGGGTTATTGACTCTATTGTCGCGCGGAATCGACGCCGAATCCACGCGGCCCACAGCGCAAGTCTGTAAAATTTACTCTATTATTATTAGTTGTCTTTAGTGAAATTGGATCTCTTGACAGAGTATAGACAGTAGAATAATGTGACAATAGTCTTACGTCCTTGTTGCACTTACACAAAATTCTTTATAACGCAAATTTATATAACGCAATTATTTTAACAGTGGTAGAGCCACGCGGCAGCTTTTGCTGCACGGATGGGCCGGCTCGAACCGGGCTGGTACCACGACCTCACAGAAAACCAGCGTGAAGTAGAGGTTTACCTCTGCGTTTCGCTTGGTGAGTGCAGGTGGCCGGAGGCCCTTTTTACTGGAAATTTCTTAGTCCTCACGGGTGACGACGCATCTACATTTTGATTTGGAATAGAGGATAGATGTAGATGTCTATGGGCCGTACCATCAGGTGGACTGTGTGCTCGTTTGCCATCCATATTCCATAAAAAAAAATTGTGAAGAGAAATTACTTTAAAAAATCTCAATAATTCTGTCCCTTTAATCGTTTCAATCCAAAATGCATTACTTTAACTGTAGGCAAAAATATTGCTGCTCATAAATCACATTCAATTTGGAATAATTTACACATATAATAAATCTGTAGAAAAGTCGTGTCTGTATTTCTTATATATACTTGAAAAAACAAGGCCAGGGGACTAAATAAAGGGTTCTGAAGCCAAATCAGTGTTTTTTAGAATATTTGTCTGTCTGTCTATGTATTCCGGATTCACGCAAAAACTACTGGACCGATTCATATGAAATTTTGTATGTGGGTAGTTAGTAACCCGAAGCAACATAAAGACTACTTTTCATCCGAACACGGAACTTCAAAACAAGAATGTCGAGTAGGAGTTTTTTTTTTCAAATAAATACCATATTTATAAATAAAGTTTAAAATATATTTATAACCTTTGTAAAATCATTTGAAACTACACCGATTTAGTTATCAAAAGAGCACCATCTATCATCTAATGGAAAAAACAGTATATTTTGCCTTCAGTTACTAACAAATTAAATAATATAAATAACTTACATTTATATGTTTAAATAATTAGGTTTTTAAAATTATTTAAAAATTCAACGTTTGGTTTTTTAGCATTTTATTTTAAAAGTGTAATAATTTCAATGGATAATAGTGACGTCTATCAAAAATATGAAAATTGATAAGGTTTTTATTTCTATTATTAATCTATATGTAAACTGATTAAAACTGGTCTGTCTGCAATTATTGCAAAATTTTCATTATCATTATAGTTTTATTAAAGAGATTTTTATATATGTCGTGCCAAATCGTGGAATTGATCATAATATATCATAAAGTACTTTATCAATCGTGAAATGGTGTGGTTATATTACGATATTTAACACTGTTTCTGGACAAAGAGATTTAAAATTATCAAAGAGATTTAAATATATAGGTATACTATAGAGCGGGCATTGGGAACATTTATATACAAAAACTTTGAGCTAGTGCACGTGTGGCATCCTCTAGCTAAAAATAGCAAAACAACGCTAAGCATTTATTAAGGCTACATTTTAACTATTCCCCAGTAGGTGACGCTAATAAATATAACGTCGTTTTAGGAATGTTACCGTTTCGATATCAAAGTATCGATAATGTTGTTGAAGATTACTAAGTTTGAAATGCTTTTCGATATAATAATAGGAAATATATATGATTGTTTTATTGTATAAATCTATTTATCATGACTTGCATCTCACGAAAAAATCATATTAACTTTTGACGCCACTTTAGTGTCATGAAATAAAATATTTAAATTCCAATAACTAAGAATCAATTCAAACAGCAGTCACTTTTGTTGCCACCTTGGAGGCATGACGTCACTCGGTCCATTAGCTGCTATAATAATAGCATATGATTGATCGGTCGGCGTTAAAGACACATCGAGAAACGCCAAATCCAATAAGAGAGCGCTATGTTTTTAAATTCGTTTCTATTACAAAAATACACTTCAAATCTAGAATATTTTAGGAAGGAAAACACTGAACTTAAAAGCCAATCCAGGATTTTTCACGTTTCATCAGCTGCAGTACTTAAAGACACTACCCACATCAATAAAAATTGTTATTTTAAGTTTTTACTTTATGTTTTAACACAGGCTTAACCTACAACTTCTTGCATCTAGTATCTTTAACAGTAAAAATTGTTTTTAATGTAAGAAATCTATTGCCCTCTCCCATCAATATAAGAGAGGATCTATAATGACTTTGTCCTTGAAAACCACCAGACAATGAAGCCTGGTATGTCAAAGAGAAGACGTGCTTTATTGCTAAACATCAACACAGCAAGTATCCTTAGCATGCTCATAAGCAACAAAGAAAATCTCATCAGCATGCCTAAAAAAAATTTCCCACTCTTGCTCGACATAAAGTAGTGTACTTTATGTTATATATGTTGGTATATTATGCTACTCATTTTTGTTGGTATGGGTACAGTTTCTTTGACTGTTTTACCTCCTTAAATATTGTAAAGGATTAAATCGGCATGCTGTAAATTTTTTATCGATAATCCCAATCGATAGACGTCGTCAATCACTAACTTTAAAATTGGTAACTATATAGTGACGTTTACTGGATAACAGAGGGCGCTTATTACAATAAAAAATAAATATTCTAGAACAATTTACTAGAAATAATAAAATTGAAAAATTATTTGGTAAATATATGTTATATTTACGATAATAAACCGAAATCACGTTCATTTTTTGCTCCATATCGTGACTTACGATATCTTAATGCACAACTGGGCAGACTTTCTTTAAAAATGTTTTTTAAATATATGAAACGGATGCGTCTTGACTTTTTGACGATGTCACTAAGACTAAATGACAATAATCGGAGATATATCCTATAGGGTAAAAGTTACAGACGACAATTTTGCTCCTGATGTCCGGTTTATTACTACTACTACTACTTAAATGTCTCTGTTTGTGGACCATCTAATGATATAGCTTGAAGATATTAAAAACTAAACACAACATTGTTATTTCATGATATGGTCATATGACGATATTGTTGCGCGCCACTATTAATGTCTTGTACATGGCAACACTAGTTACCACTAGCGCCCTATAGTATCAAGTAGCAGAACTAGGATAGTCAAGATCCTTCTAGAAATATCCGGACCGATATGTACTCGAACATTCTAGATGTTTCTACAGTAGAAGGTTCTGGAAACTATCTAAGGCCCTATATATGGCTGGTATAGACCACGACCGAGTCAGTATCGAATTGGTAATATAAGCGAATACTTCGAAGCGATACAATTGCGAACTAAAGTGATCAGTAGTACAATTGTGTTTTATTATTAGTCTGGTTTAGGTTGTAATTAGTGCTCTGTAATTAAAGTGTCAATTTTGGTAATTCAATCGGTAGTTTTTAATTGTCTCGAACCAAAAGCTCGTAACAATATCATTAAATCGTTATTCACCGCTAGCAGCGCTGATATCGTATTTTTATCAGAAACAGAACTTTTAACAGAATTGACATCACTTTATGTCTTATTGATATAATAAATTAATTAATTTTCGCTCCTATCGTACTATATAGATATATTATGATATTACTAGATAGTATACTTTTGGCTTTCATTATTTCATCTAATAATAGCGCCATCTACCTACTACTAAATACACTAAAACGGTAAGTCACTGATAAAATTAAATAATAGAATGCTACCGAATATACGATGAAAAGAATTAAAAATTCGTTCGTGGCATCGTTGAATGTGTAACTAGTGGGATGCGGGAAGTAAAGTGTGTAAGAACCTCCGAAGGAGTTGGAGTTATAGCCCAAATTAGAATTTTTAATTTTTTGGTTTTTGGCCATTTTGACCCCCTAGAAGTTTAATGAGAACTTTTGCCCCTATTCAACCATAACCCCCATTACATCCGCCACATGATAGGCTATTCAAACTGACTATGCCTAAAGTTCGAGCCACCCCACAATTTTTTTTGGTTTTTGGCCATTTTTCCCTCTAGGAGTGTAATGAGAACTTTTTGCCCCTGTTCAACCATAACCCCCACGAGATCCTCTATATGATAGGCTATTCAAACTGATTAGGCCTAAAGTTCGAGTCACCCCCCAACACATTTCTAGTCTTTACTTCCAATTACAAGGTAGACAATTAGACGTGGTCAACAATCATTCAAAAGCTTAGTTTCAGTTTTTATGAATTGTATTTTTATAATTGTACAAATACGAGGGCCATGTTCATAGATAATAATAATAATAATGTCCTCCAGACCCACACTCCAGACCGAATTTCGGTCACGGCGGCCAATCTCAACGGAGACTAGCCATCGGAGCAGGACAGGATTGTAGTTTATAGTGCCCGAGTGTATGCGGAAGCACAGGTGCACTCTCTATTCCCTCACCCTCATAGTCCGATGGGAGAGTAAACCGACACGACCGGAGAGAGATCAAGCGCAGGACCAACGGCTTTACGTGCTTTCCGAGGCAGGGTCAGACACCGCCAACTTCCTGACTCCGGGCAGCTACTGAGAATTTCTTGACGGAAAAACTCAATAACTGAGTTTTTGGCCCGACCCGGGATTCGAACCCGGGACCTCATGATCAGCAGTCGCACTACTACAACTACTAGAACAACGAGGCAGTCATCTGGGGGCACGGCAGTGCCCCCGCCAAGTTGAGCAAAAAAGCGGCACGGCCGTACCATCCTTTTCTTGAAGCAGTTCAGGCCATTTTCGAAACTCTATAACTTCGTTTTGGATGAAACTAGAAGCCTGAATTTTCAATCACCAAGTAGGCATTGTATAAGCTCGATATGTTTAAAGTTTTATTAAATTTGAACCAGTA